TTTTCAATTTTAATGATCCTGATAAATTCAGTAGAATGGAATTAAAATGCTGTCACCACATCGAGAAATAAAAGTTTAGATGTAACTTGGTACTGTTCTCACATTTTAGATGTTCTTATTCACTGATGGCTGCAGTGCAGTTTCTCTTCCCTGTATAAAAAGCATTTATTGAGCTATAATTTACCTGCAATAGAATGCAGTATTTTTGAGTATAGTTCAGTGAGTTTTGGCAAATGTACATATCCTTGAATGTATTCCCATCTACCCCAGAGAGTTCCCCCCTGCTTCCTTGGAGTCAAAATTCTATGTTCCCCTCCCTCCCGCCTACCCCCCTCCACATCCTGCTCCAAACAACTGCTGATTTGAATCCCATCACTATAGATTATTTTAAAAAATTTTTCATGTTCTAGAACTTCAGTATGTACTTTTGTGTACCTGGCTTCATTTGTTCAGCAAAATGTTTCTGAGATTCTTAGTATTTCTTCTCTTTTACTGCTGAGTAGTATTCCTCCTGCTGCCCAAGTTTTAAAATAACATTTCTTCATAACTGTGACTTTCTAATCAAAAAGTTGAAGCCTCAGGGCAATCTAATATTAAAAGTTCTTGTAGCTTCTTGTGTCTGCGGCTTTGGCTAATAACTTAGTTTAGGGAATAATTTTGGTGATGTTCATTTTCCACACAGCCTGATGCCATCTCCCCCACCCTTAAACACAGGCAGAAATTCTACCTTCCTTTTCAGTTTTCCTCTCTGTTAGTAGGCAAAAAGGAGAAGTGAGCTGACTACACTGTATACATCCTAGTGTGAAATACCATAATGGTCTTTTTTCCAATCAGAAAGGAGTTTGCCAAGCTTTACTGACCCACAGTAAGTTTATCCCTCCCTCTCTTGATCAAGAGCCTAGTAGGGTGTTGCATGACATAAACTTTATTTTTAACAATTTCCATAGTAACCATTAAACAAAAGAAAAATCTGAGAATTGCAGAACCAAGGTGAGAAGAGTAGAATATCAGAAATCAAATTCTAACAGATTTTAACTAACGTTTAAGAGAGAATGGATTTAATAGCTGGAGTTCCTAGCCCAGAGACCAAGAACTCCCAAGAGGATCTGGGAACAATAGCCTTGAGAAATACGTTTAAAAAGTCCGATAATGGTCATTAAGAGATACACAAGTTGTAGGGATGAAGAGTAGAGCATGGGGAATATAGTCAATAATATTGTAACAACTTTGTATGGTGACAGATGACTGCATTTAATCATGGTGAGCATTTTATAATGTATATGATTGTCCTATCACTGTGTTGTATACCTGAAACCAATACTATATGTCAACTATACTTCAATTAAAAATTTAAATAAAGTCAAAACCATAAGTGGTGACAAAAACCAGTACTTCCCTACCTCATCCTTCCCCAGTCCCAACTGCAAAACTTCAGAGGCACTGACTTTTACTGTTTGTAAAATGCTTATACCATTCTTGATCTTTCTATTTTAGACATGGTGTAGGAGCTTCCAGCTATGGAAGATGAGGATTTAGGTCTCCCTCCCACTCTTTCCCCTACCCCACTTCATCTTCTTCCCTCAACCTCTGTCTCTCTGGTTGTATCCTAGTTTTTGGTTAAATAGATAGTGCTTATTTTATTAAGACTATGTAAATATTTACCTCTAAGCCATCCAGCATACTATTGGTGCTTCTGCAATTTTGTTGTTGCTGTTTTCCTTGCAGTTACTGATTGAATGTTCCTGTTGCCTTTCTTCTGCATCGGTTTTCCCCTTTCCTGGATCCTGTGTTTCCTATCTTCTGTTTTTCTCTTGTGGTGATGGAGCGCGTTCTTTACTAGCTTGCTGAGATATGGTGCATATAAGGTTTATTTGTTTGTTTGTTTATTTTTGAGAGTTATATATCTGAAAATGTCTTTATTATACTTGTATTATACCTCATACTTGATTGATAGTTTTTCTGGGAAATAATTCTCTCTTAGGATTTTGAAGCTATATTATTCCTTTGTCTTGTAGCTTTTAGTGTTGCTGTTGAGAAAAGTCTGATGCATTCTGATTCACAGCTCTTTGTATGGATTTTGTCCCTCCCCCCACCCCCCTTGAAAGCTTTTAAGATTGTCTCTTATATCCCTGTGTTCTCACATGTCAGGATAACGTGCCCTGGCTTGGGTCTTTTCTCACTCCATTTTCTTGAACATTGGTGTGCCTTTTCAATCTAAAAACACATGTCTTCTGGGACATTTTCTTTTATTATTTTATTGGTATTTTTCTCTACTCCATTTGTCTCATTTTTCCTCCCCTGGAACTCCTCTATTTGGCAAATAGTGGACTTCTTGGATCAATCCCCTCATTTTCTTTTAGCTTTTCTCTCTTGTTTTTGTTTTATTCTCTGGAGATTTCCTCAAGGGTAGCTTCTAGCCTTTATATTGGATTTTTTTTTCTAACCTATTTTAATTTCCAAGAGTAGTTTTGATTCTGGTTTGCTTTTTGTTTTTTTTTATAGCATCCTATTCTTGTTTCATTGATGCAGTGCTTTCTTCTATTTTTCCTAATTTTTCCTAAGGATATTAATTATAGTTTTAAAAAACTTTTGTTTCCTGCATAGTGTTTGTCCCATTCCCCCCCCCCCCGCACTTTTTTCTTTTTGTTTTGATGCCTGACTTTGCATATTCCAGGCTTTCCTTGGCTGTCTGGTGATCCTTGGCTAACTATCTGAATGGAAGAGGGAGGCGGTACGAAGCTGATTGGGAACTCAGAGCGTGTTGTGGGCCTTGTCTAGTGATGAGTGGGCAGGGATCCAGCAGTTTCCTTGGTGAGACCTCAGATGTCACTAACTCTAGGTCTTTTTGCCTGGTCACCTTTCCCAGGGAAAGCCCTACGTTTCCTGTGTTGGAGCTAAAAATCAAGCTGAGTATATTTAGAGGCAACCCTAGCTGGAGGCTGAGGGTCTGAAGGGGACTGAGGATTTTACTGTTCCATAGGCCCACTGTGATCTCATTCTTGTGTTTGCTGTCCAGTGCCTCACACTCTCCCCTCAGCCCGGATCCTTTCTGATCTTCAGTTCATAAACCTTCTATTTGGCCAATGTTTGGGGGGAGGGAATTTCCCATCTGTGTGGATTGTTGAGGATCCAGGGCTCCAAATACACCTTATGGAAGGTGTGAGCCCTGTATTCCTGCCTTCAGTGTCCTTGGTGTCCCCTTGTCAGTGGTAGGAAACCCCACTTCATGCTGGGACTTTCAGATTGCTGTCCTCTGCTAAATTACCCATGTTCTGCTTTCTTGCTGACTTCAAAGGTTTTGTTACCATCTCTTACATGCCATTCCCTCCTCTCTGTTCTCTTTTCTCGGTGCTTTATGCTTAGCAGAATTTTTTTTTTTTTTTTAATCACTTTGGGAGTGCAGGAAGGAATGGAGGTAATTAGGACCATTTTCAATAGATTTTCAAAGGGGTCCGTGACTCCCCCAAAAGCTAGTAGTCATTCCATTGTGCTTATCAAGAGAGATTACAAAGTCTCTTTAGTTAGGCTTCTTTTTACATTGGAGAGTTTCTTAAAAGTAGGATTAGGTATTGCCCTAAAGTTATAGCAATAGAGTAGATGCTTTCTCAAGAAATGTTCTGATCTTAGCATTCAATCTTTATATTTTCCATGTGTGTTGGAAAACTGTTGAAATTTATTTTCATAATCACCAGAAGCATAATATTTGTGAGTATGTGCACCACCACACCAAATCTTGTAGAAGAAAGATATTCAATGGTCAAAAACATGGTAGACTTTCTGGGGTGATGGAAATGTCCTATATTTGATGGTTTGGATTATATAGATGTCTTGCATTTGCTAAAATTCATCAAATGGCATACCTGACATGTATTCATAAATTTTACCTAAAACAAAACACAAAATAACTACTCTCTTTCTCTTAAAAAAAAAAAAAAAAAAAGTTGGGGGTTGTGCCTGCGTGGCTCAGTCGGTTAAGCATCCTACTCTTGATTTTGGCTCACGTCGTGATCTCAGGGTAGTGAGATTGAGCCCTGGGCATAGAGCCTGATTAAGATTCTGGGCATGGAGTCTGCTTAAGATTCTTGCTCTCCCTGTCACCTGCCACACACCACCCCCTTCTCTCTCTGTAAAAAAAATAAACCAAAAAAAAACCGTAATCAAATACTAAATTCTAATTTAAATAAAAATACATGTAAGGAATGTCAAGAGTATATGAGAGTAGCTCTGTGAATTGTGAAAGGTCATGATTCTTTTTATTTCATGTCATAAAAATGGAAAAGTCTTAATTATGAATATGAAAATGTGCTCCTCAGGTACATTCTGACTACCCCTCCCTGCTCTTCCTCCTGTTTTGTCGAGCTATGCCGTACTGGTCACCAAACTGCAGATCTCTGAGAATGTTTGAAATTGTCTTATTTACTATCTAAAAATCCTTGGTATGTCCCAGTTCCTCTTATTTTGAGATTATTTCTAGATGTGTCTACTCTTTTCTGGCAAGTGGGCTTATTTTCATGTCATTTGAGATGAATGTACAGTTCCTTGGCTCTAAACTTGAGCTGACTTATAGATGTAGGATGGTCCAAGTGACTTATCAGCTGAATAAGAAACATGCAGAGAAGAATGGGCAAGGAATAATAGCATGGCCTCTGTCAGTCATTCTCTTTCAGATATTTTAACATCAGTGGGTAGATATTTTAACATATTTTCGGGGATCTCTATGTCCTAAGTCCCTTTTTCTAGATTCACTCAAAGGTAGGTTAGGAGCAGTTTACTCATTTCACAGGAGAGCAAAATACACACGGAGGTGGAGACCCATCCCGGTGAGTCAGTGTCAGGACCAGGATTAGAATTTTGCAAGCCAACCAACCATGGGCATAAGTGGGAGGGGGAGTGAGGAACGGTTTACTTCTAGTGACACTAACGAAGACAACTTAACTAGATTACAGGTTTAGAATGGCAAGACTTTGGACTGACTTAAGATTGAATCTGTTTTATCGTAGGTAAAAGAGAATCTGCTCTCGTGCAAGATGCTGTTGCACTGCAAAAGGGATGAGCTTCGGAAATTGTGGATTGAAGGAATTGAACATAAGCATGTCCTGAACCTGCTGGACGAGATTGAGAATATCAAGCAAGTGCCTCAAAAGCTGGAACAGTGCATGGCGAGCAAGCACTATCTCAATGCCACGGACATGCTGGTGAGAGGTCATTTCCGCTCAGCCGGGGGAGCCCTCGCTCTTGTTCCCGGAATGCTGGCTTTCAGGGAGCACATTACAAACTGCCCTCTTGGGGTTCACAGGCCCTTGCAGGTGAAGCCTCACAGGCTCCCTTCCTAATTCCAGTGTTGGAAATGGTAGGCGATTATTTATGTATTGTCTGCCTTTGGAACAATGGCAGGTCGTATAATGGTAAAAAAAAAAACCCGGTACCTCAGTCATGTTGGCATGGTAATGAGAGGTGTTTGAGTTTCCGAGGAAGATGGCTAATGAGTCCCATTTTATTTATTTATTTACTGATTTTTTTTTTTTTTTTAAAGGAGGCTCCATGCCCAGTGTGGGGCTTGAACTCACAACCCTGAGATCAAGAGCTGTGTGCTTTACTGACTGAGCCAGCCAGGCTCCCCTAATGAATCCCATTTTAAAGAATGAAGTCTGCATGAGAGACAACTTTAGGAGATTGATGGACTTGATGTTCTTCAAGTTCTTTGAAGGGATTGTTATGTGAGGGCTTAGGTTTTTTTTCCTTTAAATTGATGAGAAAGAAAATCTGGAGCAATAATTCTGGAAGGGACTTTTAAGCAAGAGTACTCTGCAGCCTGGCCTTTAGCCTCTGAGGCCATTCTGTTACTTTTTTCTTTCTTTTCTTTTCTTTTCTTTCTTTCTTTCTTTCTTTCTTTTTCTTTCCTTTCTTTTCTTTCTTTCTTTCTTTCTTTCTTTCTTTCTTTCTTTCTTTCTTTCTTTCTTTCTTTCTTTCTTTCTTTCTCTTTCTATTTTTTATTATTATGTTACTCACCATACATTACATCATTAGTTTTTGATGATACTTTTATTTTTTTAAAGTAAGCTCTACACCCAGTGTGGGGCTTGAATTCAAAACCCTGAGATCAAGAGTCACGTGCTCTACTGACTGAGCCAGCGGGCTGCCCCCATTCTGTTACTTTTTGAATTAGAAACAGATATTCAGAGAATGTTGCAACTGTTGGTGCATGTGGCTGAGTGTCAAGAAGATGAATAAAAAATAATATGTATCTTGTTACTTATTAAGACTAATTTCTCAGGGCTTGTGGCTCTTAGAGAGCTGCTCTATCTACCTCCCCTTTCCACACAAGCACCCCCACTGCCATCTGATTCAGAATTGTTTGGGGACTATAGAAGCCCTCTAGCAGATGACTTCATTTGGACTCTTTTTTCCACAATAGGTGAGCGTACCTTATCTTTGTTTCACCAAGTTAGATTGGCTGTTAACACTGGAAAAAATACTGAGGGGACTTGGTTGGAGAAGCAGGGTAAATCCTCCAAGTGGTTCCAGTTGAGATTTTCAAGAAGAATTTTGCCATAAGTCCTTCATAAGAAGCTTTTAAGGGAATTTGGTAACCAAGACGTGAGATATGCTATGATATTCTATCATATATTAAAACCTGGTTGTGTGATAGGAGTGAACAGTAAGCAGTTCACGTAATCTGTCAGCTAAAAGGACAGGAGTATATGTGGAATGCCACCTATATGTTCCTTCTGCCTGTTGTCTTCAGTGTTCTCCTGTAGACTGTTTTTTCCACATGTGGGTGGGGTTTGGGGGTTTGGGAGAGAAGAAGGGGTGTGGGCTGTGGCCTGTAGCTTTCAAGCTTTGCAGAGGAAAATTTTTTAATTAAAAAAGATGGGAGTAGGGTCTAGGTTGGGTCAGCTTGAGTACTATGATTGTCAGTTCCAATTAAAATTATGTGGTTGGGGGGAGTGGGGATCTGGGGAGTGGGGTGGGAAGGAAGAGCAGTTACCTCCAGAAAGAGGTGAGTATATGAGTTATGTTTTCCAGAAGTTCCTTCCCCCCCGCCCCGTTTGTTGTTTATATATTCTGGATACTAATCTTTCGCCAGTTGTGTTTGAAATATCTTCTCCTAGTTGGTGGTATATCTTTTTACTTTGTTTATGAAGCCTTTTGTTACAAAGAAGTATTAAAATTTAATGCAATAAAATTTTTTTCCTTTATCCAGTTTTTTTTTTTTAGAATAATCATTTTATTTTCAGTTTTTTTTCAATTTTTTGAAAGAGAGAGAGCATGAGTGGCAGGGGGAGGGGTAGAGGGAAAGGGAGAGAGAGAGAGAATCTTAAGCAGGCTCCACGCCCAGTGTGGAGCCCTGAGATGATGACCTGAGCGGAAATCAAGAGTTGGACGCTTAACTGACTGAGCCACCCAGGTGCTCCATATCCAATTTTTATTTCAAGAATTTTTTTTTCTATCCCAGTGTCATATAGAGAATCTACTATGTCTTTTTTAATCTGTTTGGAATCTGTTTCCCTGTATGGATGAACTAGGGATCTAATTTTATCTTCTGTATAAATAGCCACATGGCTCAGACCATTTGCTGAGTTTATTTCCTCCTGACTTCTAATGCCATCTTGGTCACATATCAAGTTTTCATGTATGCATGGGTCTGCCCCTGAGCTCTTTGTTTTGTTCAGTTGGTCTTGTTTATATCTGCACCAAAACCATGCTGTTTTAATTACTATTATCTTATGATATATCTTGATTTTAGCAGGTGGAGACGTTCCCTCACCTTGCTTTTCAGAATTATATGTGCTATTCTTGGCCAGTTACTCTTCCATATGAATTTTAGTATCAACTTGTCCACATTCCTCAAAAAGTGTCATGAGATTGATTCACTTTGTAAGAATTTCATCTTTGTACTATTGAGTCTTTTCAGTGAGTAGGTCTCATTTATTGATGTCTTCATTTATGTTCTATATAATAATGCTTAGTAATGTATTGCCTAGAGGTATTAAATATATTATTTCTTGCTTTTGCATTTTTTAGAACAGTGGTTTTTTATTAATGACAACTTCTAGTTATTTGTTGCTAATGTAGGGATGTGATAGATGTTGTTTAATTGATCGTATTTCCCTGAACCTAATCCCAATCCTGTCTGCCTGGAAAATGATGATTTATTTTTTAAGGCTTGGCTCAAATTTCGTTAGCTCTCTGAATGTCCCAGGTGATTAGCTGCTTTTCTCTTTTCACAAAAAAAATGAGGTATTGTTTTTATTGTGGTAAGAATAGTTAGCCTGAGTAGGTGCTTTTTCTGTTTGTTTCCATAAGCTGCATGTACTTCCTTGTAATACAATTGCTTTTGTTTATATGGTAGGTCATTGAGGGCAAGGACTATATCTTATTTATTTTTGTCTGCCCTGTTCTTAGCATAGTGCGCCTCATCTAGTTAGGGTTCACAGATCATTAGCCAAATGGGTAACTATGGGAAAGACTTTAATATACTAAACAGATAGTAGGGTGTTTCCTCTCTAGGGGCTCTGGTCTGATTTTTCTCTGGTTTCAGTGTTTGTTTTAACAGCAAGTTTCTCTAGTTTCCAACCTTTCTTTTTCGCAATATTTAAATGAACAACAAACAATAATTACAATAACAGCTAATATGTATTGAGTTTTCATTATGTTCTGTTACTACTTCAAGTCTGTTACACTTGTTAACACATTTAATTCTTGCAATAACCCTATGAGAGAGAGGTTTCTGATATGACCCCTATTTTCCAGACGAGGTAGTTGCTTTGCATGATCTGAGGAGTTGGCTTATCCTAATATACAATGACGATTTCATGAAGGTAGGATTCAAGGTGTGCTTAAAAGGTTGGACATTTCTTTCAATTTGGCCCTTTGTATTTGAGTGAATAGTAAGGTCTATAATTGCTCTTTCATTGGACTTCCTATAAAAAAATTATCACATTTCCTTTCCCCATGGTTATGTGATATTAGAAGTGAAATCTACTTAAGGCATCTCAAGGGTCCAAATGAAGAATCTGCTAAAAGACATCAGAGGAAAGTGAAGACAAAAACTCGAGTCTTCCAGGGGGCGCCTGGGTGGCTCAGTCGTTAAGCGTCTGCCTTTGGCTCAGGTCATGATCCCAGAGTCCTGGGATTGAGCCCCGCACGGGGCTCCCTGCTCCGCGGGAAGGCTGTTTCTCCCTCTCCCACTCCCCCTGCTTGTGTTCCCTTTCTCGCTGTGTCTCTCTCTCTCAAATAAATAAATAAAATCTTTAAAAAAAACAACAAAACAAAACTTGAGTCTTCCGAAACTCTCCGATTTCCCTGGATTTGTTTATCAAAAGATTTTTCATTTCCATGGTAAGGCAGGTGCAGATGGCCAGTAATTTAATCCCTACTCAGGTTCATAAATCCAGGGTAAATAAATCAGTTGTGACCCATGGCTCTTGTCAGCTCCTGCAATTCCTGCTTCACCCTCACACTGCTCTGAAAGCTATAGACTTGGCTTCTAGATGGGATATTTATTTCTTCTTTTGATATGATAACCTGAGTATTGCATAAATAATTAAATTGTCATGACAGGGAATGTCTGCAAATAGGCATGGCCTTTTGTTTCCTTCTTCAAGGTAAACAGCTGCTGTTAGCTTATGAAAAGCTAACAGTGGTCCAACAAGAAGCCTGTATCCGTCGCATTGAAATCAGAGACTTGATTAATATTGTAGCCTGTAGCTTTGTGATATGTAGGGTTTAAATTAGACCTTTGCAGTCATTGTGCTGGGTTGATGCAAGCACATTAATGACATAATTTCTGGTTGCTGCATCACATTTCTGCAGTCTGTCCTTTGTATTCCACTCACATTAATTGAAGTAATTTTGCCAGTGAAGCGTGTTTCAAACCTCTGCATTTAAATTGAAATTTTAATTCCCTTATTGTCTTGAAAAGACGGCTGAAGATGCCTTGTTACAGGTTTCATTATCACTCAAAACACTCCAGCTGCTGGTTCTAATGTACAATGACTGATTAATTCTGGGAAGAATTATTAATATAAGAATAGCAGCTTCTTCCCAGTGGCATGAGCTAACCAGGAAGGGATTTGATGATAGTTAATATTTTTATGAACTTTTTTAAAGGAAAATTTATGGGGAAGTCTGCATCAGACTAAAACTGCACAGATGCGCTTTGAAAACCACTTACACAAGTTCCGATTTATCAACCCATAGAAGTCCATTCATAAATGTGTTCTATCAGTGGAAAGTAAGCCAGTGCGAGTGGTTTTGAAGCACTTTGGCTGACAGTCACAGGGCCTGTGGCTAAATTTTTTCA